GATTATGAGGAGGGTCTGGTCTCCTTTTATGATGTAGATACTGCAGATCAGCTGTACTCCTTTACTGGCTGCTGCTTCACTGAGAAACTCTACCCATACTTTAGTCCCTGTACTAATGATGGTGGTAGAAACTCTGCCCCCTTGATTATTTGTCCTATCAATCACAACAATTAAACATAACTGCAGGTTTTTCTAGTTATTTTTGTTGATTAGGCTGTAGTAAGTAAAGGTTAAAGTTAGCCAGAGTGTAGCAGCAAATTATATTTATGGCACCAAGCCTAAAGTAATGTACCAATGAGAATATTAAATGTCTATAGTGTCTCAAGTTAAAGTACTCGGTGAAGTTTTTAACCACTTGTGTTTATATTCTGCTGATTTTCATTTCTATCAAATGAAATGGGGACTATAATGGAATTTACTTCATCAGGTGCAACACAAGAGTGAGGAAGATATAAATTAAGGACGGTCTGCAAACACTGAGAAAGGTCAAAATTAAATATTGAGCCTATTGGCGTATGCAATGTTCTGGTGTATTTTCTTATGTTTTTATTTTGGCTCTATTCCATTACTACTTTTATTTTTTTATGAATTACTTATGGGTTGTTGATTTGTTTAGTATTGTATGTAAACATTTAATTGTGTTGAGGAACAACAGGATTTACATTTTACAAGTGTGACCTTTCTCTTATGTCAATCTTTCTATTATAATCTAATGTTATCAGATCTAATCCATGTACTATACTTGTAACGTAACAGTAATTTTTTTAGTATTATTGATTATTTACTGAGCTTTGTAAGCAGCAAAAACTTAATCACATGACATGTTGCCTGTTTATCACATTCTGAACTACAAATAAAGAATTTCAAGCTTTTCTTTCAAAATGAAACGCGTTTTTTGTTGTTTTTTTACTGAAAACAAACTGAAGTCATCTGATTAACACAGTTTAAGCATGTAATATTTTGTACTTTTCTCATTCTCACATAAAGTGACTTGTTACTTGGGTATATCTTAGGCATGTATTCTATTATAACCTTTTTATTACACACAAACAATAAATTTATAATCATATGAAAACTAATTAACTTTAATGTCGGATTTTCAGAGGTAACGTGTCTGTATTAGGCATTAATAATTCATTAAAGAGTATAACTCAAACTGTACATGTCATTATAGAGACGTTATTTAATTAGTCCGTGTGCAATAGTGAGCATTATGAAATATGAACTGAGTTTGTCCTGTATACAGTAAAGGTCCCAGTTATAAATACAAAGGGACTGAATGGGCCTCCACAGACTTCATGAAATTTTTAACTTGGGAGTACTTGGTTGTAATGTATACATAAGCGCCTAAAAAAAGGTCTGTGATTGTTAAAACTTAATTCAAAAAGTTTAATCGTTATCAATAAGAAAATTAAATTCAATCGATTTATTGTGTACAGGGGAAAATATGTATATTTGGCGATTTCATAAGAACTGTCCTTTCTGCAGTACAGTAATGTACTTTTAGGTGACGTAACAGGTTAAACGCAAACCTACTGCAGAGGCAGTTCAGTTAACCTGATGTTCTTTGGTTTAAATACAGTACAATAAGCAATAAAAATGATGGCTGGATAGATGGATGAATAGGGCTTCAAAAAATCTGAACCAACCCTTTACTATGTGGTCAAAAAATAAATAAATCACATGACAATCCTCATGTTTAATTCCGCAAGAGGGAAGTCAGACCTTTCTCTGCAAATAATTAGGATCTGCTGTGTGGTTTTCACAGTGCATTGCAGCTGACACTTTGACTTTATGACCATTCGAGGATGAGATGTGGACACAGACATTAAGTTGACTCTGACCTTTTGCATTTGATCTATACTAATAACGTTGAAGAAAGTATATCTGACTTTATCAGAAGGAAGTACATCTTACAACAAAGGTAGGAATTCTTAAGTCATTTTACACTTGTATACCTTGTTTTATGAGCAGGTCTGATGCTTTGGGTCTGTGATCACGTACAGTCCACCTCAATGAGGAACCTGAGCTCCTTGACAAGAGAATAAGGGAGGGGAGGATTTCACAAGAAGAGCAAGTAAAGGAAAGACATCACTGAAGATCCCAAACTTTAGTGTTAGAATAATTTAACTGGCTTGTCTTTCTACATTTGAAAAACTGAGTGCTAAATTCAGCTTGGTGAGTTGTGTTAAGAGATTTAAAACACAAATGTTTCTGTGCTTAAGTATATAGAGAAACAGAAATAAAATCCTTCAAATACTGGGGTCTTTGAAATGTACAATGTTTCTTCTCTGAATTTGCAGACAGTACCACATGTCTGTCCTAGAACCAGCATTACCGTTACTGCTACTACTACAACTCCTATTATTCGTTGTTTACATCGGTATAAAAAAAATTATATCCAGAAATTAAATTCAAAGGGAAAACTTAAAAGATAACATGGTAAATATTTGTTTCCTCTACTAAAGATAATCAAGTCATAAGAAAGAGATGCAGTTGAGATGAGATGCAGTTTTCACATTAGAAAAAAAAAACAATGGAAATGCTTTACCTTTTGCAAACTGTCTGATTAAGTCACAGAATATATTGTTTTGCATTTGACGTGCCTGTCTACAAGAGTGGCACTCATGAATTATTCTTTAAGTCCTAGTTTGCCACAGTAGAAAAAATTGTTTTCAGTGAAAAGGACCTCAGTACGCCTCCCAATATAAAATAGCAGAAAGCAACTACCTTAAAGAGCAAGATAGATAGAAGATTGTCCGGAGTAGGACAAGAGTAAAACAGAGCTTAAAGAGTGCATACTAGACTTACCTTCATCAGATGGCTGTAAAGTCCATGTGTTGCTCACTGTTGACTAACATCTTCGCCATATCAACTTTATATGTTGACAGGTTGAATCAACCTAACAGATAACTCAAATATCCTTAAAAATAAGACAATGGCGAAACTTTCAGTGATGATCTGGAAAGCGTTGCAGCAATTAAAAGACGACGAGTTCAAGAAATTCAAGTGGTTCCTAAAGCAGGAGGACGTCTCGGAAGGCGACTCAGGCATCTCAGTGGCTCAGCTGGAGAACGCGGACAGGCAGGACACAGTGGATCTGATGGCACAGAAATATGGCGACACTGGAGCTATAAAGGAAACCATGAAGGTCTTAGAGAAGATCAGCAGGAATGATCTGGTTCCGAGTCTGCACAACTCCTGCCTGGACCCAAAAGGTAAGTTGGGGGAAGGTAAAATCAAGTGTTTAGTTCATCCCTGGACTGGATCGCAAACAGGAAACAACCATCTTTGTAGTGCAGAAGAATTAAAAAACCAAAAATCAAGAAAATGTCTGAAACATCTTCAAGAAAAAAGGTTGTTTGGTGTGTGATATTACTTTGAGCCATGTCAACGAACTACAAGTATAATCATCCCAATTTTTTCCCCAAAAATCATTGTGATGTGGATTGTCATAATAATAATAATAACAACAACAATAATAATAGCGTCCATCTCTGCCTTGTTTCAGATCTCAGGCTACAGGAGTATGAAAGCAAGAAGGTCAAGCTGAACAGCCTCCAGCAGTTTACAGTGGAGGTGACTCTGGATCCTGATGCAGCACATCCCAATCTCATCCTGTCTGGTGATGGGAAACAAGTTTGTGATGTGAAGAAGAAACTGCTGGACAACCCTGAGAGATTTTTCCGTTGTGTCTGTTGGAGTGGACAAAGACTTGATCAACAGAAAGGGACCAAACACACAGAGTCTTGAGGATGGCTACCTGACTGGAGGAACTTAAATTATCCTTCACTTTCCAGAAATTGGGAGTTCCTAGATTGTGAGGAGAGTCTGGCCTCATTTTATGATGCAGGTGCTGCAGATCTTCTTTACTCCTTCACTAAGAAACTCTTCCCATTCATCACTCCCTCACACACGGTGGTATAAATCAAACTCCACTGATTATCTTTCCTGTCAATCACACTGGTTAGATTCATAATTTGTCTTCCCAGATGAGTTGTGTCATTTAAAATAAATTACATTCGTCCTATTTACTGAAGTCGTGAACAATGTTTAAGAACCTTATGGGATGGTAATGATTGTCCAACCCTCAGACGTTACCAGGCAGTCATGGCTTGTGAAAAACTTTCTGATTGTAACACGCATGAAAATATAAATTAATGGTCTCATCTTTTTTTCTTTTGTAAATGACTATGGTATGAGTGGAATACTGCCCTTTGAGGTGTCCATTATCAGGAATTAATGGACTCAACATTGTCCATTAATTCCCAATAATGTAGATAGCCTCTGACATTACATGAATGGTAATGAACTGAAATTCTGGTTACATTAAAATGTAATGCAATCTTTAAACTGTTACGTTCAACCAACCAAGCGGGTGAGCACTTCAAATAAAAGCAATGTTCAACTTTTACGAAAAAACATTTTATTTGTCACATGGAATTCTCCCATGTGTTTGTGTTTGAAATGGACTTACTGAAATTAATATATACTTAGTAAATACTGAAATCAAGTGCTTTTTCAGGATCTAGTCTCCTGTCACTAATATATTTGCATATTACAGATTTTTTCTTACTTTTATTCTATAAATGTAATAGAAACAAAAACACCTGTGGCACACTTTCTGTATTATGAACAAAATAAATACTAAAAAAGAATTTTCAGAAGCTTTTCTTCTAAAATTTATGTTTTGTTTTTTTACTGAAAACAGTCCAAACTCCTCAGACTAACACATGAAGATTCAACAGCATAAGCTTGAAGTAAATTTACAAAATCTCCAAAGTCGGACATTTTGTAAACAACTGATTTAAACACTGGAAAAACTCAAAAGTCACTGCTTCAAAACTGGAGAAATCATAAACCAGAACTGTGAGCGATCCAGTTCAGCCTCAGTACTCTCTGCTGAAGTGCTTGTTGACTTTGAAAACAGGGATGTAGACAGCGAGGCTGATGAGGAAGAATTGTTTCTGCTCCTTTAGCCAGACCAGTTTCATCTTCACCTGACCCTCTGCACTCAGGTACTCCATCAGAAAGTGCTCGCCGCCGTAGTCGAAGGACAGCTTCCTCTTCGTGTTTCTGACGCGAATGGGTGAGCTGAGACACCAGAAGGGTTTCTGGAACTCGTCCAGCAGAGTCAGCGTTATGATACAGCAGCTCTATGTGATGTAAGAAAAAACCATCAGAGCTGGAAAAAACGGGATGTGACCCCATTCCCACCCCAACAGCTGAGTCAAAGCGAAACTTACTTTGCTGAGTTGTCACTCTAAACACATGTCTAAGATCACAGTGTGCGCACATGTGACTGGTTGAAGTGCTCATATTCTTTGGTTATTTTGAATTTTGAATTGATTATTTGAATTGGAGTTGAATCAGTTTTAATGTTTTTTTAGTGTTAGCTAACTGTGAATGCATTTTTTGAACTTGCGAAGGAGGCATGTCCGAGCTCAAAAGAAATGGAAAAGAATACTTTAGGAAATACACTTATTATAAAAACTGGAACTCTGGAATCTCTGGAACCTCATTACAAAAATAACCCTAACTGCTTGTCCTAGGGAAAAACCCCATCTTCCTATTACAGAAGTCCTAAACTTATGGCTGTGTCCGATCCTTTCTCAGACCTCGTATCTTAAGAAATCCTAATTGCAACTGTAAACTCATCCTGTCATGCCCGTGTTTAAAATGTACACAACACTGCCTTCCTTGACAATGACTGTTTCGCTTCACCTGTCCCTGGCAAGGTAGCTTGCTATTGCGGTTTTGACATAGCAATGTTAGAAGCTGTTGGTTTCCACAGAACATAGGAAATATTTGCCTTTAAGTACGAACACACATGTAGTTCTATGTTAAATAAAATGAATCATTAGTTATTGTCGCAACTGCAATGCTTATTCCCATTAGCCTTAACATCAAACTAACAGACTAGCACTAGCTATTTATATAGAATAGATTTTAGGAATTTAAAAAACAAAGGAAGAATCCCAATACTTACGTGAATCAATGTTTTCCGACACCTACGAACAACTGTGGTTCTGGTGTACCCAGTTTCGGCACTTATTTCGAAGTTAGGAATTTGTCTATGCCTAACTTCTTCACTCAGGATTGTTCTATAAACACTAAATTCTAATCCGAAGATAGGACTTGTTCATGAATGCAGTTAGGAAACGTGTTTTTGTAATACCAAAGATCCCAAATGTCATCCCATTTCTGACTTTCAGGTTTCTGTATAACAGCCCCCATGTTTCCAGTTTTTATGCTAAACTAACTAGCTGGTGGTTGTAGCTTCATTTACCACACAGACATGATTAATCTTCTAACTTGTGAAGTGTATTTCCCAAAATTTAGCAACTCTGACTCAAGCTCATCATAGTGGCTCTACACTGGATGTTTTGAAATACTGCGGGCAACTGTAATGTCTGTTGTTTTGGACAGAGGTACCTCCACTGAGCCCTCCAGGGCCTCGCTCTTCCAGGGCATCTTGACGTTTCCAGACAGCGATCTGTGCTGGGACAAGTTGGTCCTGTTGATGACCTTCAGCTCCAGCAGTCCACGTTGGATCTGAACTGATCGCAGCAACACAACAAACTTCAGGTATTTACACCGTAACCAGGAAAGCTTATTATTATTTTTTCATCTGGATGTTATTTATCAACTGAAGAATTTTGTGATTCAAATCAGAATTTTGTTTAATTTGGATAAAAATTGAAAATGGCAAAAGAAAAGTTTAATGTGGAACACGCTTCACTTCTGCTAGCTCCTCCCGTCACAGCAAAATTTAAAGAAGCACCAGCGACCTGCAAAGGACAGTGGCTTTAGGGGGCGTAGCCCAAACACCGACTGCAGTGACTGACAGACTGACCACAGCAGAGTAGCAGGAACAGCGAGATGGTAGTCAGAGCCAATGAGTAGCTGCGGTCAGACTCTCAGTGTCCGAGCTGGAAACACAGAGAGTCTGCTGGAGCTTTTCCAGTCAGTAGAAGCACATTTACGGCCACTTGTAAAAGTTTCTGTGTGCTACCTGTGTTTTAGCTAAGCTAGTGGCTAAGAAAGGCTAACTCTTTGTTGTGTGTGTGTGTGTGTGTGTGTCTGTCTATAGGGGAAATGTCAAAGATTGCAGTCCATTGGTGCATCTACAGGTTCGAACTATTGTGGCAATCCAGGACAATATAGATTCTTTCCAATCTAATTTTAAACAAGTTCCAGTTGTTTCCATGTTTAGAAAACTATTCTCTAACTGACCCTCAGATTTCATTATGTAATCAGATTACCTCTGCAACAGGAGAGCTGGCGGAAGTGTCCTGACATGATCTCCGTGCCAGTGTTGTGCAGGACAAAGTGCAGAGTGTAGCCGTGCAGACCAAACTCAGGGTCCGAGTTATCCACACGTGGAAGGTCCACAGGCTCCGAGTACGGGCTGCAGGAAGGGACAAACCACGCAGAAACAGAATCAGATTATCGATTATAACGAAATATTTGATTGAATCAAAGCTTATGAACGTGTAACTGAACGGATAAAACCTCCTTTAAACAGATAATAACAGATTTTAGGTGCTCAAAAGTTTATTTTAAATGATGAAATATTAATTAAACCTTATTGCAACTAAGAACTAATCCTCATCAGTAATCACACCTTCTACCCCTTTTAATCGACATACTGATTATTCCTGTTATCGTATTGTAAGATTTAACATTTGTTATACCTCATTCATGTTTTCAGCTGGGTTAATGAAGCTGCAGTGTTGTGTTGTGACCAGCAGAGGGCGCTCTCACCCAATGACTGGACTTCCTGGACAAATTCCGCACTTTAACTCTGGTTCTGTTTTGATTCTGTTCTGAATATATCTGGAGGTCTTCCAGGACCTTTCCAGGAGTTTTCTTGACAATAGAGACAAATACTTGCTCATGAACTGTCATATCATTTACTGGTAGGCCTAGTATTTACACATTTAATCACAGCTTAATCCTCCATTTTTACTGATGCAGGATTAACGATAAAATGTCTCAGGGTTCACTATAGGTACGTGAACAAAAATTAATCTTCTTACCTATTAGCCTACTAAAAGAAGCAGTAGAAAGTGTTTGTTGCATGTACAAATTCAAAATACAAAAGTGTATTTATTAATCAGAACAACAGTCTTCTGAGGAAAAAATAGACTTGACGCTAAAAAGATTGTTCGTTCCACATCTACTTAACCCGTTTTGAATTAAGGGTCAAGTCTCAAACCATACACATAGGTGGTATAAGGTATGTAACTGTCAGTGTTTTTTCCAGGACACGTGGGTTTAAGCAGCAGTTAAGAGTTAATGACAGCTGAACTCACCAGACGGGAGACCCCAGCAGACTCTTCTCCACCAACCTGTGGAAGTGCAGGCTGACCATGATGAAGGCCACAGCGCTCTGACCCTACACACACACACACACCACCGACACACCACAGCCACACACCAACACACACGCCACACACAACACAGCGCGACGCGCAGAGACGGCACCGCCCACCAACACAACCCACCAACCCACAAGCCACAACCTGTGTGGTGGGTGAAGAGCGTGCTGCTGTGTTGTTGAGTACCAAGGACATATTGCGTATGTGCCCGGTGTGAGTGTGTGAAATAAATATTGTTTCTTTAATACACTTTGGTCCATCTTATTGGTCACTGTTTGTTTTTTTTAAATATATATATATTTT